ATTTTTTTTTATTTGTAACGTGTATTTAAGTAAAGTGTCTTCAAACTGAAAAAAACGGTGGACTCGGTGGTTGTTTCTCACACATGTGTACACACACCACAACAAAACAGACAACTGTGATACGAATGAAAAACGGGAACGCGTGGGAAGACTGTCGAGATGTTTTCTTTTTTCCTACACAACACTAAGAGCTCTTTGCCGTCTCCCAGTTGAGAACTCTTGCGCAAGCAGATTCCAGTTTCAATGTTTTCACGCACAGTACGTAGCCTACGTAGAGACCGGTGCGTCTTACGCACGGCGGTGCCCATATAAGGGCATTTTGGTGCCTACTCCGTCACAGGGGAGGATTTCTGGAAACCCCCGCCCAGGTAATTCAAACTGGTTTCATCTCAATCCCTCCTTGAATCGCCTTGCCTTATAGATAAGGTCTTCACGAGGGTTGTGGAATTTCCTCTGGTCGTTGCGCAACTTTACGCGACAAATTGTCACGCACGGAACGGAGCAAAGTGCAACCCCTGGTTTCGGGCTGAGGGACAGGGGATAAAAAAAAGGAAGTAGCCGAAAGCAAGTGACCGTTTGAAACTTTTTTTTTCCCTCTCTTCCCCTCAAAATGAAACTGCGTTATTTAATCTGGCGTGCCAGATTAAATGAGCCGAGGCATTTTTTGAGGTGTCGGTATAATTGAAAGATTGCTCACATAAGGGGGAAGTGACATGGACTCTAGGAATCCCGGGGGCGTCTTGGCACGGCGGTGGGCGTCGAGTGGGCGTCCGGGCGCGCGCACAGGAGAGCCCGGGAGACGCATCAGTGCGAAAATATGTGCGGCACCGGGGATCTGAAAAGATGGACGGAGAGGAGGAAAGTCCCGTCCTAGAAACATGAGAAAGACTCATTCAATGTCCACGCTTTGCCTCTATAGGTCAGAGGTCAGAGACTTACGGGAAAAGGCAGGATATTGTATTTGGAATTGGAGAGCGACGATGCGTAAAGATGTCTGTAAGAAATTAAGGAGAAGTAAAGAAAGCAAACAATGCTATTATACTCGGATAGACAATCTGAAAAGATATTGGACTCAGGAAAAACTTAAAGGGGGATTTTTGTCCTGTAAAAGCGGTTAGTGACGCACAAGTAATCAGGGCAACCGATCTGGGCTGATATAGATTTCTCTGTCTCTTTCTCTCTCGGTTCACACAAAAAAACCACTTCAAAAGAATCTGAGAGGGAAGGCGGCGGTTTATAACGCTCTCACCTCAAGCTGTTTTGGAGAGGAAGACCCAGAGCTCCTTTCATTCGTTTTAAAATAGTTTAATTTCCATCAATAACAACTCTTCTAGTTCGTACCGTGGATGTGGAAACAGAACCGGGCACACCCACGCAAGTTCTCTTTTGTCTATTTTTCATTTATCACGAAACCCTTTTTTTTCTCTCAAGGGGATGTACATTACGAGTTTTTTTTTTTAAACTTATGGCTTGCTCTTCTTTGCTCAGCTGTGACAGAGTCGTCTTTTCTTCCCAATCGATAGCAGCACATTTAAATATCACAGCAGTACTTAAGTATCCACTTACGCACTCCCGAGCCTACACACCACAATCCACGCAAATAACTCACACACACGCAACAAAAAAGCCAATTGAAGCCATACTGGCTTTCCACACACCTCGGCCCACAGCCCACACTGAGTGTCTGAGGGAACATCTGTGATGTGAATGGTGACGCGTGAAGGGCTCTGGGTGGGTTTGAATTTTCCTCTCCACGAGCCCCCTTCCCCTCCCACAGCCACCCGTTTTTCTCTCCCTCTGTCAGATCTTCTGTTATCTTTTCGAGACCCATGAATATTCCTCCCACCTGTTACCATCTGAGGTTCGTTGAATCACTATTACGAGGACGTGATTTGGGAAGGCGATGCTTAGATTTTTTATTTCTTTATTTCATATGTCGCCCTGTTTCAGGAGAGTTGTGTAAAAATCATTTGAAAAAAACGTATTTGAATTAGCCAAACCTAAGCCAAAATCCATCAAACATTCTTCAAGCAATATGTATGTTTTTTATCATGTGGGTGAGACAAAATATGTCACAATTTCCAATACCTATTAAGGTATTTTTAATCATCAGCTTTACTACATTACAGTATATATTACAGTATACTTTGCCCAGTTGGTATGTATCATCATGTAAATCTGATGTAGATCCTGTCACAATCTGTCCCATGTCTAGAAATACAGTTTAAAAACCCTCAACATATCTTTGTCATTACGAACGGAACAGAATCGCACTATTCAGCAACTTGTGTGACAATCCTCGGATATAATTATTACGATACTACCACTGTTTGGGGTCATTGCTCTATTGATGAGTCTGTATTATCAAATCCTTAGATGTCAGATAACTTGACTCTAGACCACCTTGCAGCAGAGTAAAACAAGCCTTGAACATCAGTCCTCCACCTTCGAGGTGTGAGTTGCTGATGTGTTGTGTTTGGTTTTCTCCAGACTTGCCACAGTGCATTATGACCAAACATTTCCATTCTGATGCCATCTTCACTGAAGAAACTCTAGTCCTTTAGGTCACACGTTTACCAACCAAATGGAAGAAGGTTTCTCCTAAAACTCTTCTCCACCAGCACACGGTCACTCATTTGCTGATTGTACTGTAACAAACGTTCATACGTTAAAATGCATGTAGAGTCTGAGATGCAGCTTTTGTATTTTTTTCCCAGATTCTCCTAGCGTTTAACCATATTACCGTGGGGGGAACTTGTCTGGATTGACAAAGAACTTGTAAGTTTTTCCACTTGTTTTTAATTGAAGTGCTCACATTTATTGATGTTCAGTTGATGAACCAGCAGCACTAGGCTGCTGCTTAGCCTTTTAGTACCTACAGACGCGGTCAGGGTGGAGTGGAATGGCCTTTTAAAGCAGTGCCTATGCATTTTGGTTTACTTCTTTTTATGTAAATCATGGTACAGTAAGTCTGAATGATCATTTACCAGATTACTTTTCATTGTGAACTTGTAAGTAGGAGCTTTGAACTGAACGCAGGTACGAGTCCTCTATCCATTGTTGAAATAAATTGGTGGATTTGAATGCCCAACCTCTCCACCTCCACTGGGTCAGTTGAGCTGTGGACTCTTTGGTGGACACATATCGCCATCTAGTGGAGAGACATTGAAAGAAGGAGTCTGATCATGGGAAGTTCGGACTGGCTCTGTGAAAACAAAACAAGCTAATTAAACTACTAATTCTATGAAATAGATGGCCATAAAAATGTGATCAGATGTTTAGTATAGCAAGGTTTAATGGACGTTTGTATTCAAGAAAAAGGAATGTCACAAAATATAACAATATTATATAACACTCTATAGTTTTTAAGGGGCATCTTGAATTTTGTTTCCAAGTTCTTTCTTCTGTAATTTTACTTGATCTGTTTTGATTTTTTATGCACTGTGAATACGTAGATTTATTATGTTTCTGTACTATTATGTCTTTATAGCCTTATAATGTTCTTAATTTCTTCCTGTCAACCTGTCCAGGGACTGCAGGTTGAAAATAGCAATCTGCTTAAACCTGGTACACTAAAATTCTTTGGCTTTTGTCTCACCATTTAAATAAACAATGTTATCTATGAGCAAAATAGGCAAATGAGGCTCCACAGCTACTTGATTACATTTTTCACATTCTGAATATGACATGTAACTCTTTATGTGTCCTTTAATTGTTTTTCTTCCACAGTCTGAAGTCTAATGGTTTAATCTTATTGTTTGTCATATTCACGTCACATGACATGAATGCAAAGACAAAAACTAACAACATATTGATCCTTAATTTCTGTTGGGTATGAATCAACTTTCTGATAAGACAAAACAATGTTTTTATTTTATCTTTAGTATTCACATAGTCCAACACTTAATTTCTGCAACCTATTCCCAAAATGGAATTCTACTTTGACCATATCGTTGCAACCTTTTTTTTAAATTTGTGGTTGTAGGAAAGTCGGGACGTTTGTAATGCGTGTATTCTGAGGTGTAATAATAATACACACTTAGTGACGTTTAACCACTCTGCTTTATGTGAGAATGTGCAAGTTACAGTGGGAGCATGCAGAAAATCAACTCTTAGTTGCAGTTCTTCTTTTTTTTTAAAGATCGACTGGAATCTGAGATGACACACACCACAAAGATAAACAGCCTCTCGCTTACCGCATGTCGCCCTTTGGCTCATCACTGAAGCGTTGAAGGGGACGCAGTCATTCTCCTCAGAGTGTGTGTGTGTGTGTGTGAGTGTGTGTGCGTGCTGAAGGACTCTGGCGTCTGACCCTTGTCGTTCTGCTCTGTCATTTAGCGTGACGGCTGTGACTTTCACACGGGACGTGTTATGGGCTCGCATCATCAAGATTCAGCGGTTTACGACAGAAATAGCACACACACACACAGTTACACACACACAGTTACACATTTGTTGTGTCTCATTGCTTGTCCTTTCCACAGAGAAATAGCAAGCGCTGTGTGGCATTATCAACACAACGAATGGCCTGTGTTCTCCGCCTTCCACCGTTACTGTTCCAGTAAACAGCAAATCTGAACATGACTCATGACCTTAATCTACTAATTAATCATCTTAACCTTCCTCTTTTGTTTCTCTTTTTTACGTTTACCATCAGGTGAACACAAGTGATTTGTGAATCCTGATTTATGTTGGCTTCAGTGTGTATGTCTTTCTTCCTGTCTCTTTTCTCAAAGCCGCCTTTCAAAGCCTGAGAGGTGTTCGTTTCAAACGTGCCCCCTCTGATCAAATCTGACTCCGACGGCCTAGTTATATTTTAGATATGTGAGCATTTGGATTCCTCCCTTCCGAAGGGTTAGGCTTAGGAGTGACAGCTACCAGACTGAGGGGGTAAACACACCGACAGTCCTCCAGTGGTGTACGGTGTTTGTAAAGTAGATATGACTATATTTTGAGTGTAAAAGAAAGTTCCATGTGCACTGATTTGGTTGTAAAATAGTTTTTTTTTATGGTTAAATTTCAGAGCAATAAGAAGTTGCTGAGTAGCTGGAACATTGAGGAGGAGCTGTTCAGATTTTTTCCTGAGCTTTGAGGATTCTGACACATGTAGCGGTTTGTGCATAGCTCTGCTCAGAAGGGAGGGGGATTTTTGATGGATTTCTGCAACAGCAACAATTTTGCAAGATCCCCCCTAATATGAAGACATCCCTGTGATTTCCTTATCTCCCGATTGTGAGGAAACAGGGAGGCAACAACAGATGGCTCTCAGTAGAAGCAACATCAAAGATTTTTAAAATTCCATCCAAAAGTGAATTCAGAAACATTGAGCTAACTGAAAAAAGCATAAGAAACTGTAAATATGAGGCGTATAAGGGGGCATGAAGGCTTAAACCCAGAGATATAAGCACTGAGCTAGTGACAAGGGAATTGAAAAGAGGTGAGCACTAATTGGTGACAAAAAATAGTTGAGGATAGACGGCAGACTTTAAATTATAAAGTAAATTCACAATGATGTTAGAATGTGTTTTATACCGCAGCTGAATGTTAGCTGTTGGAAAAGTTTTTCTGTAATTTGTAGCAAATTTTCCCATACGTTGAGAACTGTCTGAATTTTACCCGGAGCAAAGTTTCTTCTTTGGGGGTATTTATTTTGCAGAAAGTAGGCAGAAAACAGCTAAATAGTCACTGTCATTTTAAATGAACTGTAATCATGCTAATGATCTTTCACTGTATCTGTGAGTTACAGATGAGAGGAGTCAGGTGTTACATTTAGAAATATTGTCTTTATTGAGAATGTAAAGAAAAGCACAGAAACACCCATTTAAACAAGCTTACAGTGTATCGGACACATCCGTTTTCCACGTTTTTTTTAATAGATTTTTTTAAAAACAAAACATTGACTTCTATCAGTGCCTCACCCTACCATCACATCTATTAAAAAAAAGACACCCTCACAGAAGATTGGTGATCCGACTAACAGGGCCATCTCATCTGGTATGAATGCTGCCTGAATTTCTGTGGATTCTGTTCTGTTCTCTTGACCGTCCCACATCAGAACACAGTCTCCTCTATAGAATCTAATTTACATTCATGATCATGGTCACGCTGTGACCATCTCCACTACTTCAGGACGAGCAGACTGCACAGTATCACAACAGTTAGATCTGCGTTTTAACAAGCGACTAATGCACAGATTCAAAGGAAACTAGACGGCTGATTAACGGTTGTAGTAGGATTGTGATGCGTTTACCTGCGATTGCCACTATATTGATGAAATGTGCTGTTACGGTTAAGGGTGGTGTATAGGAAACATGCACATGTGCTAATTTGATGCTGTAGGGTCTTTTTTTTTTTTTAAACCGCATGCCAGAGTTCAAACACGTCATTTCGTAACGTTGAGCGATATCTTTAGCAGACTGATACAGAGAAAAATCCCCATTTAAAAAACAAAACAAAACCAAAAAAACGTCTCGTTGTTGATTATAAAACGAACTGTCCGACAACAGTGGGATATATCTACTGATAAAGTCAGATCCCCTTGCAGAAGTCAGATATTTACCTGCATATACTCGACTATTGTCGACTTTAATAGTGATTTTTCAGACGATTCAATCCAAATCGGGCTATTAATGAAAGCGGCACAAGCTTTCCGATCTCTCTATGAGCAGCTTTGTTTGAAATCGTGGCTCTATCTGATATTCGAAGGTGGATATGTGACCTTAAGATTGTGTGGCAACTTCAGGCATAGAGGAGCGGGGTTACGACTCCATTTCAAAGGGGGTTTGATTTCGTGTTAGAAACTAGACAGGTACCTCTAAACAAACCGTTGTGTGTCGTCTCCTAAAGGCCGCTCCCGCTGCCCTCCACGTCCTCGATCTCCACTGACCGCTTGCGCAGCACAGAGTTCCCCTTCCGGCCGGCCCTGGGCGGGGCGGGCAGCTTGGTCTTGCAGGGGGCTCGGTACTGGGGCAGGCCGGTCTTGGTGGTGTCCAGCTCCTCGGGGTCGTCCTGCTGGGCCCGCAGGGCGGCGATCACGTCTTTGTCCGAGGGGCTGAGGGTCAGGCAGCCGCAGGGCCGGCCCTCCCCGCCCAGCTCCCCGGACTCCCCCGCCTCCTGAGGGTCATCTTCAACCGTCAGGAAGGCGTCCCCCCACAGGCTCTCGCACAGGTCCCTGCCGTGCTGGTACATCTGCGGACAGGTGGACGAAAGACAAAAAAAAGTGGGCCACAGCTTCATCATCGTGATCAAACTGTCTCTTATCTCCTGAAGAACAACCTCTCTTTCAGCTATCTTGTGTTTTTCCAGGGCTTTGAAGCTAAATGGGTACCTCCGATTCTGATTTTGATACGTTTTAGACTGTAATTGCCGGGGAAAATTGACACGGGAAATTGCTCTGTTTCCTTTAGAGTCGACCCGTGTCTTTCCATTCTCGTCTGAGCTGGATTAAAAAGATGCCATCTACGCTCACGAATATGCAGCGCTCCCTGCACATCAAATGCTGTCTGATGTTTGGCGCAGAGGTTTAAAAAACTCACACGACACGTGGGTTGAGTGTTATGCTACGTCTTTATTTATACAGCTAATTTTAGCCACATCCACATCCTTAGGAAAACCACAGCTTGTCTTTTTCATCTATCTGAGCCCATAAATTGTACTGAACCGAGTGAAAAAGTTACCTAATTATGCTGTTCTCTACAAGTTAAAGTTCCCGCAAAATGATCTGAATCGCTAGAAGTTTTGAAGGCTGGATTCTCTAATTGAATTCCATCGTTACAGGATGTGGGCACAATGAGCTGCAAATGCTATGGGCCCTTTTTTTAAAAAAAAAACTGTGATTAAGGTAACAAAGACAGAGCAAAAACAGACATCTATGAGGAGAAAATTCATCATAATTGTTGCACAAAGCATAAGAAAACTGGTCCCCCCGTCAAAATTAAATCACATAATCAAGACAAAAACAAAACACAATGTTCCTTGTTTTCTTCTCCCCATTTGAATCAGCATTTAGGGTTTGGACTACACTTTACTCGTCATTACATTCTGGATGAATAGCTTTTGAGACGGTCGCTTTCTTCAATTTAACCACGAGATGTCAGCAATTGTTACACAGCTTTTAATCTGAGTGGCACGATGGTTTTGTCTGGTTTTCAACAGTCTGTCATTGACATTTACACGGCCTTGCTTGTTTTGTATTCAACGCTGCTGACAAATGATATCTGCAACGTTATGTAACCCACTGCGGATTCGAGCCGCTGCCCGTCTTGGCCAAGGCTCTCCTGTAAGAGATTTGAAATCCTAAGAGCCTTTCATGATTAAATAGAGGCTGGATAAAGAATGACCATCTGTAATCGGTGGCAACATGCAAATCGGAGGATAGCTTTATCAAAAAAACTGCAACCTCAGCGCTTCTCCTCAACTTCTGAAAACGGGTAAATGTTACTTTCCTTTCTGGGTTCAGAAGGGAAAGTAACCAACCAAGTTGGATGAAGAGTTGCTCACATATTCCTTAATAATTAAGGCAAATCCAATATTTCCATATTTGCTTCTGAAATCAGGAAAACTTGGGTGGTGTATGAAGAGGTAGGCCCTAGGATTTGCCTGGAAATCGACCGTGATGAAGTTATTTGAAATAATTCAAATAGATATGGACAGTTGTGCATCAAATCTGAGTGACATTTAACTTACAGTGTTAATGCCAACATATAAATCTGTGTAATCCTCCATTCTAACTCGGGTTATCTTTGGAAAAGAAAAGCTTCTGCCGCACTGGACCAAGGTGGACAGGGAGCCCCCAGAAAGCAAAAACGAAAACACAGTGTCCTGGTGCTAGCCCGCACCATAAGCATCCTCTCTTATAATTGCGATCGCTTCGACCTCTTTCTGGCCTTTAAAAAACACTTTGTCTCTGCCAGGTGTCGGAGGGGCCGGTTTGCACCTGGGAGCTGATCTGACCGGTCACTTTTATCTGCAACCGCCACCCTGCAATCGCCTCTATGCGCACCGACCTTGAGAGAAAAATCGAGAAAAAAAAACAATCTCCTGCTGTATCTCTTGGAAAAAATGTTTGGCCTGTGCTTCTGTAGCTTTTTCTGAGAGCACGGTCAACCATTACTCAAAACTCGTGTACTGTAACAGCCTTCCTAAATGACATATTTTATCCGACTGATGGATAAAAATATAGATATGCAAATGAGAGGGAATTAAAAAAGTACAATGACTAATAAACACTTCCCTATGATGATTAGTTGCCATTTAAAGACAGACAATATGTAAAAAAAGAGAGCAGACTCATGAGATCTGTGGTGCAACTGGGATGGAAACGGTCATAAATGTCTCTGTTTTATTAAACTTTTATTTTACATATTATTTAAACATGTAATTGAGAATATCATGATCATGCACTCCCTTACAAATGTGAGAAACAACCGGAATTACTGACCAGAGATCACTTGGAATTGTTTTAATGAATGCAATCCTACTAGGATGTCAAGAATGGAAAGAAGAGAAAGATTCACGTTAAATCTTAATCAACTGAGAAGAGGTGGCTATGTTGAACAACGAAAAAATAGAATGTTGGCTTCTCCCTGCCAGGTATTGGCAGCAGCAGCTGCTCTCATGAGTGACTTTTCCATGCTACCGCCGCCCCTTTCCACCTTTTTCTGCTCCATCCTTTTAGTGTAAATCCGAGAAAAAAGACCAAAGACACCTTTCCCCTGCATCTCTGGCACGCCTCCCAAAGACCGTCTCCACTAATGAGACAAGTGAGTCCCCGCACCTCCTCTATTCCTTTCTAACGAGATGTATTCATTACAGCGCCCGGTCTTCGTAAAAGTGACGTTTGGAAGGGAAAAAAACAAACAGAAAAAGATTAACAACTACAGCTGACATTAGCTTTACAGTTTACGGAGCTTGAAACTCTGAATTTCCCTTTAACGAGACGGATGGCAATTAAAGAGGATGTCGCGTGAAAGTGTGCAAACAAATCACAGTTTAAGCCGTAAAAGGTGTCGCCTGAGGGGCGAGAAACAGTCAAAAACTGGAATAGGTAAAATTACACAGAGAATAATAACTCCCCCCAACCTCCACCGACATTTTTATCTTTTGTCTTATTCTAATGATCACTCTAATAGCACATCTCTATCCTGGTTCTGCCTCCTTTCATGCTCCTGTTCATTGGAGGGGACACAGAAGTAGCCAAATTGGGCCTCTGAGAAGCAGAAACTGTAATATGTTGACCATGGAGTGGACGGTGGCTGTTTCTCCCAGCTGCTAGTGTTCTCTCTGGACTTATCATTGGCCAAACCACACACACGCCACACGAGGTCCTCCTTCAGGCAGATTCCGTTTGCTGCCAAAGTTAATTCAGCACGAGCACAAGCGGCTTCAGATGACACGCTGAGATCGAATAAGGGAGATGGGAGATACTTCCCCAGGCTCTGGGTCGCCCATCCCTTCCTTTTTTCTCGCCCCTCCTGAAACCTGTGGCCTCACGCAGAAGAAAAACAAAAGGAAGAGGACGACAGATTGTCCAAAACCTTGGAGCTGTAGTTGTAAATCGGGAGTAGGAACGCGTCCCGGGGGCTGCTGCCGTCTGTCAGACAGCGTTCAGGTGACATTAGAGGAATCCCAAAAATCCATAAACCACAACTAAGCAGCGTAGCGTCTATGAGAGCAGAAACAAATAAGTTCTAATTTGAAATTAACTATGGACACGAGGATGCGGGAGAAAAATAGAGGAAATGAAGGAAAGTGGAACAGTATATACATAGAAAAAATGGTTGGAAATAGACATAAATCCCTGCTTGGCTTTGTGGTTCGGATAGGGTAAATGCATTTTTTTATTTCTCCTATTTCCTTTAAAAAAAAAACACAGACCAGAGATCTTCAATATCTGCCAACTGATGTTGATGATATTTCATAGTGTATACGGATTGCGAGGTGCGGAAGAACTGGAAGAAGAAAATAAAGCAGAAATAAAACTAAGAAGATCAAATATATTCCTTCATTTTCTTTTGCTGGGCAACTTTTTTATGAACCGACTTATTGAGAATGCAATCATAAGATTTTGGACTGAATTTGGATTCAGTGGGCTGACTGATGGAACTCTACTGGACTTGCTTATGTTATCTTTGAAGTGCCTTGAGACTACTTTTATTAGGAATCAATGCAATAAGAACAAATGAAAACTAAATTGAGCTGACATATAATTGGTTAATTTGTTCCCTGTGCATGACCTTTATTTTTCATAGGAACAAAACATTATCATCTGGAAACAAAAGGCATGCTTTAAAAGGCTACAAATGTTACAATGGCACACTATGACACACTATGGGGGGGGGGGGAGTCCTTTCCTCGTTTCAGGGTAAGCCTGCCTTATGCATGCTGACTAATAAAGATAAACTCACTTTTTGTCACTTTTTCAAGCCGTTGTGACGTGAATAAGAACCTTGGCGGGCAAAAGATGTAACTAATGACTACAAAAAGAGAGCGAGACGCAGAGAGCCGGGGGGGAAGGATTCTGCACGCGGTGAAAGATATGCTTTGTGTTCCCTTAAATGTACTCGCTTGATGTTATGAAAACTGTCATCTGCTGCAGCTAGCGGTTTAAAAAAACAAAAAAAAAAGCCAGTCTGTGTCCGTTTTTTGGTTTGAGAGCGAGGCCACGCAGACCTTCTGCTCCCCCCCGTTCGTCCCGGTCTGAGGTGACCCCGAGGGCCTTCGCTCGCCCCACAAAGCAGCCCTCTGTGAAGTCTCCTGGGGGGGGGCAGCAGGCCGCATTAATGATGCGACCTCCTGACGGTGTGTTTGTGCTCGCTTATTTGCAGCCACCGCTTTCTGTTTCCTTCAAACTGTATTCGCGAGCTGTTTAAAACGCCGGTTTTTAGAGCTGCTTAAATTTCTTGGAGCCTATTTGAGGCATTAGCGGTGCCCTACATGAAAATGGGCCAGCACACAAACACACACAAACACACACACACACATACTCGTTTCCAACCGTCTTAGCTCAAATTTGTAATTTCAGTTTATCGTCTGATATCCAGCGGAGGAATTAGAAAGAAGAGAGGATAAAGGAGATAAAGAGAGGCAGGAGGAGAAGAGAATGTGGCACATTCCTATCAGATTTGGCCGTGGGGGGGGGTCAGATGTGTGAGAGTTAGCCCGCTGCTAGCCTCAGGTGCACGCCGGCCACCGCTGTCACTCGGATTTTTCTTTTTTTTTTTAAATCTCCCAGCTGGCCGCTGCCCGGCGGAGCGCGGCCAGACTCTTTCACGCTCCAGCCCACAGAGCCACCGTTAACCCTTCACTCGCTCTGCCCCCCCCCCACACCCACCAGACCCCTCCACCGGCGGCGTTCAGGCCCAAAGATGGACGATAAATGGCTCGGTCAGAGGGATTCAAACCGCCGACCATTCCTCTGACCGCACAAAGGGGCAGCAGCCAGGGGTGTGAAGGCACTCCTAGTTTAACGGGAACATGCTAATATGACTAAGAGTGCTCCAGATGTCCACCCATAACAATTTACTTCATAGCCGGACATTTTTACACTGGTAAGATAATGGTAAAATGCATTTTTTTTGGGGTGGGGGATATAACATTCAAAGCGTACCTGCTGGTACTGGACGCAGGTTCCAGTGCAGTTTTGGCCCCTCGGGTCTCTGGCCCAGTTCCGGGCACACGTCATGTCCATCCTGCAGGCGTCAAACCTGAAGGAACACAATTCAGCTTAGAAAATCTCAAAGGGAACGCCATCAAACTGTTCCTCTTGAATGTTTTTAAATGAACCGCAACAGAAAATTGGCAGGCTAAACTCGCGTAATCCCCTAATGGGACGTTTCTTTCTTTCAACGGAGGTTGTTTTAAGTACTTGAGCGCCACAGGTGCTATGAGTACTCAGCGTCTAATCTGCATTAGAACAATTAGCCCCGCTTAGTTGGGAAGACCAGAGGGGGGAAGGGGGGGGGGGGTTGGACCGATGGACAAGACAAACTCGCAACTAAACGAAAGGAAAAGACCTCATTTATTGCAAAATGAGTAAAAACCGAAGGGTTTTTCTACACCGCTTTGCTTTTCACTGTAGAGTATTTACATTTATGAGTATCTCATATGGAGAACACCCACATCACACAGGAAGTGAGCGGTCATCCTACGAGCAACCGGGCTCCCGGCACAACACAGACGCTCCTCCATTATAGAAACATGGTGCCAATGTAAATACTAAAGTAACACGAAAGGTGTAAAAACTCACACTGTAGCATTTAGGTTTATAAGTTGTACCTATTAGACCCAACCACTGCTAGCTTGAATGGATTGTCATGATTTGTCCCTCATTCCCAAAACTGAGAGCACTCTGTGTGTCGTCTAATCCTGAAAACACACTGACAGCCAATATTTTACATAACCCTCAATCTAATATCCCCTTCAAGCGCCGTGCCGAACACATTATTTCTTGTTTGTTTAATAAGCCCCAAAATTCATCCAAAAAAAGATAACAACCTTTGAGAGATATATGGGAGATCAGCGTTATTTTTAATGAAGTAATGAAAGTTCTTAACAATAATGGGGCTTCTGTTGTGATGAGAAATCAAAACGTGCGATAATTTGATCGTCTGTGTATTTCCTCACCGACATTTACAAGAAATCCTATTTAAAATCCTAAAATGTGCATCCCAGGTCTGTGTTTTATTGGATGCTTTCCCACATGACGTCTCTCCAGCTTATTGCGCTTGTCATAATGATGAATATTACGAGTCCTAATGGAAAAAGGGCGGCAGAACCTAACAACACCGTGGAGAGGTGTATACCAAAAGATGATTTTTGAAAGATTTAAATGTAAAACAGAAGCGCATTTTCTAAATTGTAGCTCGCGTCAAAGAAGTCCCAACAAATAAACTCAGTTGCGTGCGTGAAAATGATCAGTTACAGGTTTCTAAACTCCCCATGTGACAGGTTTGATATGGGATTAGAGGGCTATGAGCAGTCTTTGGGAAACGCATCCCCTTTGAATTCGGCTGACAGCACAGCGTTAGAAAACAAGGGGCTGTTTTTTACACCTCATTTTGTGTACATCTTGAGCGTTGCAGGTGCTGGTGGGTGGATTTGTTCCATTTGGATTAAACCAGTTTAGCTTTCCTGAGCCTTTGTGGCAAGCTAAGCTAAAAAGCTGCTGGGAGTAACTCAATGTAATCTCCAAAAATGCAATACTCATATTTTCCCTCTCATATAACTCATGGAAATAAAGGGAAACAGTCCTATTTTTGAAAGAGTCTAAGCATTCTTCCAGGTGTTTCTTTTCCTCATATAGCATAAGAATACAAAGATTATTTACACATTTAGCTGATGGGAGTTCATTATACAGTCCTTTCATTTTCGTCACGACTGCTCATACAAAGGGATTGGTCTCAGAATCTTGAAATGATATATAAACAATATTTTTTATGCTAAAATCAGAAGATAATCCCATGTTTTTAAGACAGCAAACTTGAGGTAAAAATAGTTTATCCCTTGCTGTCAATGATCCAGCATTAATGCTCAGCCCAGCTGTCTTCAGAACAAAATCTGCCGAAATCACTGGGATCTTACCTGCATCCCGGTAGTTTAACACTATTTACCGGGCGCGTTTGTCTTGGCAACAGAACACTGACAGTCATGCCCCCCCCTTGATGCGTTTACAGGTACCGATTTTGATTTAGATTTGCTCACCAATCGCGGCAGAAGCTGTGGCAGAGCGGCACGGCCTGGATGTAGGAGCGGCGGTGAGGATGAGGCCAGCGGGACGCGTCCGGGGAGCAGCGGTAAAAGCACGACACGCGCTTCAGAAAGCCCTCACACCTGAGGAGACACAGGGAGATCAGGTTGGGCCAGCGTTATGTACAGTAAAGTTGACACTGATTGAAATCTCTGACTGAAATTGACTCAACAACACGCAAAAATTAGCATGTTTTCACTGAGTAGAATTATTGCTAATATTAGCTTATTGCTAGTTTTGACATTGCTTTGAAATTGTGCCTTTAGATGCATATTTGTGCAGAGTTATGTTGCTTTCCGCTTGGCTTAGAAATCAGGAAGCATTTGGAGTATTTGGAAGTGAAATGGAAACAAAATTTGCTCATTTTGGGGCTAAATTAGCTTACTGTTTGCATTAGAAGGCCTCAAATTCTATTGGGCTCAAATCCCATAGTCCCATCCCCATTTTCTGAGGTGGAGCAGCCTTTCTGTATTCTATGGTTAGGGTCGGTGATATTCCTTTGATTTTACAATTATTCAAGTTAGGTGGGAGATTTGTTTGGGCAATCAAAATTTCGACCTCCAATCTTATTAGCTCCAAGTCACTCTGTTTCAACTCTGACTTTGGTCTCCATCAGAATTCATGGTCATTACTGATCCCTCGTTGAACTGAATAAGACTGGATTTGGTAATAAGAAAATCAGATAGTAATCCTAATGATCGGCAGTTTAAGAGAAGTTAAGGGGATCAGAGGTATGGGTAAGACTTACTCAGGGCTCAGAGGCCCACATTTGTCCCAGGGCTCATTCTTATTGCTCACGGAGGGGACATGCCCAATATCCTGGATGTTTTCCTCAGTGCAGCAGCTATCTGCAGCGGACAGGAACAGAAAAACAAAAACCGTTTCAGATTCTCCTGCCGGTCTAGAGCCTTACATTCTGATGGTCACCCCCCCAACTGAAGGCAAAACACTCACTATCGGCGTACAGCCCACACTCGGTCAGGTGCGGCTCGGGGCCGGGCGCGGCCTTGTGCTTGCCGTCTTGAAGACACACCCCCTCCGCGCGGATTCCACCAATCAGTGCGGCCGTCAGGTACACGCAAAGCGGTATCAGCGGAGAGGAAGAGACGCCCATATCTGCAGAGAAAAAACGAGTTTGGAGAACAGTTTAGATAACCATCCATCCATCCATCCATTTTCGTATCCGCTTATTCCCCTAACAGGGTCACGGGGGGACTAGAGCCTATTCCAGTGGTCAATGGGCGAGAGGCGGGGTAGAGGCCCTAGACGGTCCACCAGTCCATCATAGGGTGACACAGAGACACACAAGCACCAACAACCACACACGCTCACACTAACTCCTGAGGGCAATTTTGAATGGCCAATCAACCTAACATGCAGGTTTTTGGATCGTGGGAGGAAGCCGGAGAACCCGGAGAGAACCCACACAGACACAGGGAGAACAAACTCCAAACAGAAAGGTCCTGGTTCCCCCGGGGACTCAAACCCAGAACCCTCCGGCTGTGAGGCGCTAACCACAACACCACCTGCAGCCCAGTTTACATAACCAAGGTAGGAAAATAAATAAATAAATAGATAAATAAATAAATAAATAAATAAATAAATAAATAATTAAATAAATAAATAAATAAATAAATAAAAATATAAACAAATAAATAAATAAATAAATAAATAAAAATGAATAAATAAAAATAAATAAATAAATTAATAAAACTAAATCCTGCTATAAAGCATAGTTGTTATAAAAGATGGAAAAAAGTCCGGATCGATGCTGTTTTGATGCCTCTGTGAGGGACAGTCATTATGGTATGGGCCTGGGAGGCTCAGAAGGGTTACAGAGACCCCTGCCAAGCAGGATGTGTTGACCTACTCGCCAGGGTGAGCCTAATTAGCTGAGACTGGGGCGTCGTGCTGAGATGGATGACATGCGTAGTCGTTTAATCTGACGGGCTGCGGGCTAACCTACATACAGGCAAGCACGACTTAAACAAATCTGTTTGGACCCCCTAAAGACTCCTTAGTTTGGCCCCGATTTTCGCACCCATTAGACCCAGGGGGGGCTTTTAAAGTCAGACGGCCAGACGTGACCACAACTGCGTCAACAGCCCGAAACTTTAATGAAGGAATCTAAATTCTGCAACTTGTTTGTTAGGTTTGGATGATGATTGGACCGTACGTAACCATGGAGACCGGAGGTTATGTCGTTAAAAAAAATGCAAAAAGTGAAAATCCAGCGTAATGAGGAGATTTTTTCAGGCAAAAAATTGACAATTGAACGTAAAAAGCACACAGATGTGGGATAGACATCAAGTGCGTGAAAGATAGAGATTTTTCCCCCTCTCCTACAGCAGGAAGATTACATTTTAATCCACGAAATGAGTTTTTTTTTTTCCTACTCCAGAAGCTGCTGCACCCTTTTTCGTGAGGGTTACAGAGGCTGTCGCATCAGGTGGTGCTCCACTCCACTCGCCTCGTTTTTATTTTATCCTGCTATTTTGTGTGTGTGTGTGCGTGTGTGTGGTAGCCTACCTGTGTGGTGTATCAGAAGCTGCTCCGTCCCGAATAGTTTCCCCGTGCTGTTTTTATCCGGCGGGTGGCTGCTCTGTGCGCGCTGGCTGGGATCTGTTTTTGGGCCACTGCTCGCCACTTTGTCACCGGTTTAAATGAAGGACATCTCAGTCCCTTCCACCAGCCATCTGCCACACGCTGGAAAGTCCTCTCTCTCTCTCTCTCTCTCTCTCTCTTTCTCTCTCTCTTTCTCTCCCCTCCCTCCCTCCTGAGCGCAGCCACACACAAACAAACGCACGCACGCACTAAAGACCAGGCTCCCTTCCTCGTTAATCTCCCAATAGGATGTTTACCAAATCCTCCTTGTTGACAGCTTTTCTTCCTTCCCCGGAGTCGAGTCAAGCTGGGGATGGAAAACGCCGAAATTAGATTCGTCGGGACTGATTTAGAGTTGTGTATAGCCCGTAAAAAAAATTGAGGTTTTCATCCTTCATATTCAGAGGCTGGCAAACAGGTGCTGCTGAGTCACACCTGTCCTCCCCTCAGATCTGCCTGTATCCAAAGGTACACACACATAATCACACACACAATTACGCACACACACACACACACTGAGGTCAGGGCTTTCTCCACAGAGGACGGGGTCAGATGGCTGATATTTAATACGGGATGATATGCTCAGGACAGACAACAGAAATATATCTGAAGGGGACAAAATGCCACAAACTCACACAGAATCTGTTGTGGGCCATCTTCCCCCTGCCCTCAGTAGCTCAGTAAAGCTTCTTTTTTTTCTGAATGGAGCTCTTAAGGCACCTGTGTCACAGAAAGTGGTTCAATACATCAAAGCGTATCTTCTGGCAAAGAGTTTAAGACCTTCAGTATCTTCGGCGACCACCCTAGAACACACGTCACGTGACCCGGCCCCGAGTTGTTGGTCCACTTCGAGCGTTATGGCTCCTAATCTCACCTTCCCCTTGGACCTTTTTATAATCCCCGGCCGGTTGAGGCTCCCTTTGGCTCAGAGAACCATCCCGAGGCGTTGGGTCTTGAAACCAGATGGAGAGCTAGTCCTGTGGCCTAGATACGACATGTTTTCAACACCATCGCTCTTGGCAACAGAAAGCAAACGGGGGACATGAAGGGAGCAGAGACCCCGGTCATCAGGTCTACTCAGGCCTCAGAGGGGACACAGACCCAATCCGAACTACATGACCCATAGGGGGGAAACAAGGGGCTAGTTTGAAGCCTGCAATCCACCAGACTGTTTCGTAACTGCTCGAGGGGTCATCGGCACTGAGCGCTTTATTTCTAGGGGCGAGGGGCATGCAGACAAATAGCTCTTCATCTGGCAATTAGAGGAGGAATAACCGTGTCCTTTGTGCGAGAGCTATTCAGGGAACCGGGAGAGGAGAGACAAAGCGGGCCGACAGAACTCCACGCTCACCTCTCATTGAGAACAGCTCGGCCAGTATGTTCAGCTCCGGGCTAGCATACGGCATTGCCCGTCTATGTTTGGTCATTAACAGTTTGGAGCTTCTTTGATATGTTCCACTGACCTATTTCTTCAGGATGGCAGGCAAACTTCCCAGTTTTAAAGTGCCATAGAGTTAATTGTATTGCAAATAAGTTGAACAAAAACTGTTGGTAATGTCACTAGTGCAGATGAGAAGAGTCATTTAAGACGTACGAGTTTCCCTTTTAATTGGCAAAACAAGTCTGAGGCAAACTTTTTGAGGGGCTACAAGAAGTAGCAAGAATAAGACATGCTCTCATTAATGGAAATAAAGGAAGATTCACAGATTCACAATGTTGCCCAAAGGTTGGTGGTACAGGCTATGCTCACCTTAGAGCAGGTAGTTGTCGGAACTGAAGACATACCATAACGGGGACACAGAGAAAAACAAAAGCTGCGGTGGACACCCACAATGTGTCACGAGACTTGAATGCTGACCAGAAACAGGTAGTGACACATGTTATTTCCATCTTTGCCTGTCATCAGTGTTTGCTATATTTCATGACTCATATCTGTATGTTTATTTTTAAGTGATTGTTATCACTCCATCTCTTGAAAGAAGTTAAACTCGATTAAAGAGCACTCATACCAGTTTACTGTCTGTTTGTAATTGTTTTGCCATGTTTCAGGTATGGTTTGCTTTATTCTACGTCGTCTATGTTTTTATTGTGTGTCTTACTTATTGTGTGTCCTCTGCCTATATCTTTCAGTGTATCTTTGGATTTTGTTTGATATTTCCAAAGGGTTCATTTAATATCAGTCCAAGAGACAAAGGTCTGAACTTGGCCAGCTGGCTGACGCTGGCACATGTACAGTAATGTAGATTATTGTGCACGGCACATGAAAAACTAAAACGGGATAAAGAAATTGCAGAAAATTGCATAAAACACCATTTTTTAAAAATAAGTTAAATACAAAAGCAACTATGTGATACAAAACATAACAATGAGACCCAAAACCTAATATTTTGGGGAAAATGATTAAACAAAATACATGAATCAATAAATAACAAAACAAAAACACAACAGCAATAGCTGTTTCTTTAAATAGCTAGGTCATTTTGCAGGTTTTTTGTGTTTTCCAGGGCAATGCCGGGCTGTGTTACACTTCTGCTGGTTTGGACTGTTCTGTACCTACTCCGATCTCAGATCTTTCTTCCAAAGCATTGCCTCACAAGAAAAAAAAAGCCTGCTCTTTTGATTCCTCACTCGCCACTCCCTATACTTCATATTTGAGCTTTGGACCAGTACGCTTATACTTATAAGATTGTTGCCCTCTTCAGTGAAGGATTTGTCTCACCTTAGTACTTGGAGGCCATTTTACAGCAGTTTATCTGGACTAATTTAACCTTATTTGACTAAGCCAAGTGTTTTTTGGGGGGTCAGGGGTCTCCAAAGTCGGTCACTGAGAGCTGCTGTCCTGGACCCAATTCACATCAATGCGCCATCGGAACTCCTGTACAGAGCTTAACAATGTTTTAAATAGGTCAATTTGATCAGAATCAGGTGTACTGAAGCAGGACAACTTTCAAATCTAATCCTTTTTAAGTTATTCTTTGTATATCTTTGAAATTTGCTCTGAAATGTTTCAGTTTTTTAATTTGCTTATTTTGCTTTTGGAAAAAATATTAAATGGTTGTGTACATTTGTCAAGTAAGTAAAAAAAAAGAAGTCAGTATTTTCACCTGAAAGCAAAGAATGAATGGTTGACATTCACCTCTTCACTGAGTCTGCAGCCAGGAGGCTCTCACAAACAACCGAAGGATTAGAATCAGCGTTTGATGTGATCACTCTTTGCCTTTATAACGCCAGCGCTTCTGCTCACTTCCCTGGCGCTGAGTTCTTCTGTGGACTTAAGCCGCTGCGATGTCTCTTGTAATCCCGTCCCCACGACGTCGACGTGAAGTCAATTTGAGTCCGGTGATGGATTAAAGTCCCCACATCTCAAGTTCCTGGTTTGAGCACTGGCAAAAGAAAGACCCAGCTTTTGACCCTGCTACTGCAAGATATAGATATATAAGCAAACTTTATATATACATTAATATATAAAAATTTAAATTGAAAGATATAGTACTGTAGTAAACAGTTGTAATTTTAAACCAGTTAAACCAGTAGTTCTGAGACTGTGTCTGAATTCTGAGGCCACTCTTAAAACCATCGTGGAAAATAAAATAAAAGCAGAGCAACAGCGATCTGCTGCGTGTCGAATGCTGTAAACAACATCAAGAGTGAGGGAGGGCTGAAAATCTGCTCCCTTATCCTGAGGAAATCCTATGTAGAGCGGCTAATCCTACACATCCTGAACACAGAAAACTCCTTAAGCACATTAAATGCTACTTGGTCATTTGGAAGATTCTGCCTGTATTTTAAGCTAAGCAGTCCATAGTGACACATACACAGCACTGTTCAATAATGTTAAACAACATCTCTTATCTTTAAAGATTGCTTCCAAACAGCCAGACGTTCTTCTATTCTCTTTATGTGATTTTAGATTCAGTCTACGTTAAGATTTTCTAAGTTTTCCCTTAGGAATCTAGCTGCTTTTTGACTTATATAGAATAATTTGGTTATACCTTAATTGTTTTCAGATGAATATGTTTTATTTTATCTTATTTTTTTTATCACTAGTTAAAAGTGTTTTTAAGTGAAAGAAAAGCTAATTTGCAGAGAATGAAATTTCCTTTTGTTCTAAACAACAAAAGTTGTTCTAAATTGGACCTTTTTGTGTTTTTTATAAGCATTTAACAACCGTTATTAGATAACAAGCATACCAGTGTTCAAATCCTATGAGTGAAGAATCCTCCTCTGGACCTCAACCTCACCAAACCAGTGTGGGATCAGTTTGACAGAGAACAAAAAAGGCACTCAACATCAAAAGAAGCCCTTTGGGATGTCCTCTCAAAAAAGCCTGGAGAACTATTCCTCAAGACGACTTAAAAAAATGGACACAAAGCTTGTCTAAGAAGGTTCAGGAGGGTTTGGGAAAAAAAATGTCCTCATGGCAAATATTGACTTTCTAATTTATTTGAACTGCTTAGTCTATTTTTTGGGACCAAAACAAATCGATTTACATTTATATGTGCATATTTTTCAGTAAATCAATCTGCCCAACTAATGGTTACCGGTCAGTGTCTGCAGAAATGTGTGGAGTTCCAATAAATATACTTTGACACATTTGACTGCGTGTTTGAGAGATAGTGAGAACAAAAGCTGGAGTATCTACTTCAAGGAAATGATGCTGAACAAATGGCAAATTGCTGCTCATTTCTGGTATGACAGATTATGGTCTGTTTCAAATACCACAGGGAGGTGGGATTTCTCATTTGAGTCGAACTTAAATCCATCAGTTGGAAAGAGCACCTTTGCTTCTCTTCCCCTTTAAATCTGTCCTCTGAAACCTCCTGCGGCAACCTCTCTCTTTGCTTGCGACGCAGGTGTTAGGTGACAATAAATCAATCCGAATCAAAATAGAAAAATCTGCCCGACGGAGCGTCACGTCGGCATTTATTTCAAAAGACAGCGTTGGACTTCAAAAACATACAAAAACAAACAGATGAACACACAGCATTTTGTCTAAAAATAGAAAACTTCAATCTACTGGCACTGCAGGACCTTTAATACTATAACAGATTTTAAAAAATCAACCTTTAGGCATGGCCGTGGACTATGGATTGTTATTATTAGTCATAAAGCTTCAGCTCTAATTCTAATAAATAGTGCTGAATAAT